CATTTAGCTGGCATGTAACAATTTTTAGTTCCGTGACCTCATCCCGGCACTTACGGCACTGAGTGAGGTTTTGGAAATTTCCTCCAGTCTTCCTGAAGTGTTCCCACTTCACTCGGACATGGAGCATTAGGCTAGATTTTTCTAAGGCCTTAAGGTTGTTTAGTTCACTAGACTTGAAGTGAACTAAATAAAAATCATTAGAAATCCCGTTGCGCGAATCGCCAGGACGGGATTTCATTTTCATTTTGATTACTTGGAGTGGCACAACTCCAAGTAATTTTGCCAGTTCATCTTTGATCTGATCCAGGGATTCACCACTGGGCAGTCCTTTCATGACAACCTTGAACACACGTTCAGTTTTGGTGTCGTAAGTAAAAAATGTGTGCTTCTTCTCAGTAAGATACTTGAGAAGACATTTAAATCCGTCCAAGGTTTCAGCCAATACACGGCATTCACCCCGACGTCCAATTTGTAGTGAAAACTTAACTTTCACGAAATTCAAAAGTTCCATGCGAAGAGCATGGAAATCGGAAGTGGTTATCACAATAGGGGGAATCTTTTCCTTCTTGGCATTAAGCCGGGAAAGTTTACTACAATTTTTCTTGGATGATGGATCATTCTCATCATCCGTGAGCAAATCAAATTGATTACTTGAATTAATTTCATCAGAAGGGGGATCGAGAGTTTGCCCCTTTCTTTTGCGTTTAGGCGCCATGGCGGCAGTAAATTTTTTATCCAAATCGACTTCCTAGCAAATTACTATAAGAATCTGAAGGATCGAAGAGGAATTTTCCAAACCGATATCCAAGAAGGATTACCTCGGGTAGGGTCCGAACAAGGATCGAAGAGGAATAAGAGTTGACAAGGTAGAAATTTTACAGGTTGAGCACTGAAAAGTGCTGTTTAAATTTGTTGTAGCTTTAGGTAGTAGTAACACTTCCTTCAGCAAAAAGCAAGTATTATTATTATTATTTAGCTTTATTTAGGAGGCTTCAAAAAGCAAATAGATACGCACGGCAAGAGAGCACGATGCGGACTGATGAGCAAGACAGTTGTGGTTCCATTAGCACTGTTACATTGGCGACGAGGATGGGATCGGAGCGCGTGGAAAAACGACGACGGAGACGAAACGGAACGGAACGAGGATATCGGGAATGTCGATGGTAAATATTAAATAAGTTATTGGATTAGCAATCCAATATTGGAAACGGTTCGGCCTAAGGGAAAATTTCCAGACCGTTTGGGTATTAAATCAAAAGCAAACGAAGGGAACAATGATCTTGTCCGTTGTGCTTACAGTGAAACCCAGGATGACGCAGGGAATCTTTATTCCAGTCCGTGCACCTGGTCAATAAGCGAAGAAAACTAGCAGTTCTAGCCCGCATACGAGGGGGGCGACATCTAAATCTCAATTCTAGATGCTCAAAAAATCTCACACTAGCGAATCAATCTTCGAAAAATCATCTTTCATTTCTCGCATCTACTTGCATCGTAGATGGAGTCCCCCCCCCCCCCCCCCGCCCGCATATGAGAAACACAGGGAATGTAGTGTCATTCCAGTATGTTCTCAACATGAAGCGAAGGGGATCCAAGAAAAATCCTAGTTCGCAAGTGAAAATGTTAGGGGATGAAATCCCAGTCCATTTTCGATTACGTAGAAGGTGCAGAAGGCCTGAGTCCGTCAGAATCCTTAATGTAGGAGAAAAATTCCCAGCCCATTTGGCACCGGAAAAATAGGAAAAATCAAACGTGTTTGGAAATTTTCACCAGTTACCATGGTAACACGTTTTCAAGGCAACAAGCCGTGGGATGGACCAACTTATGGTCTTAGCTTGTTGAGAAGACAAATACAAAGGAAAAAAGAAGGCAACTTGATGTGATTATTTAAAATTAAATTTCAGCTAAACTTCAACACAACGCCGTTTGTTGAAACAGGTGATGGTCCTACGTCGTCTCGTTGGGAAAGATGGAAGGATCAGTTTGTTGCGTATCTGGCTTTAAAAGCGGTTGATGACCATGACGAGATGTATAAAGCGCTCATGTGTTTCGGTGGTCCAGACGTTAGAAAGGTTGCTCAAAACATCTGTACCACTGAGGGATGTGTTCTGGATAACCTATATCGGGTGGCGATGGATGTTTTGGATGATTATTATTCTCCACGAATGACACTGCGATACAAGCGGTTCAAGTTTCGTCAACTCCATTTTCATCCGAATGAGAAACTCGACCAGTTTGCAATTCGATTGCGATCTCAGGCAATGCTATGTGGATTCGGTGAACAAATCGAGCAGATGATAATAAACCAGATTGTGTACGCTACGAATGGAGACGACAAGCTGGGAGCTAAATACCACGAAGCTGACACGTCACTGGAGGAGTTACTTAAAATTGGGCGAACTTATGAGTCTATGAAGTCACAAATTCACAGGAGAAACGTAGTTGCCGTGAAAAACGGATGCCTGGATATTTCAATGATTGCTTTTATAAGTGTTCCCGTTTAGATTAAATTGATGAATAAGAACTATTCCTTAGTTTGTTTGAAAGTAAAACTTAATAAATGTTAAAATTAAAACAAGGGAGAGATGTAGTTTGCAAAGATGATTGTAAAAACTAAGTAGGCGTTCGACAATAAATCTTCCACTGGGATCGTACCTCTTGAGCAAGACAGTTGTGGTTCCATTAGCACTGTTACAGTGTCGTAAATGAAAAAATTGTGTTGCTTCTCAGTAAGATACTTGAGAAGACGTTTGAATCCGTCCATGGGCATTCATCCCGACGGCCAGTTTGAAGTGAAAACTTGAATTTTTAACAAAGTTCAAAAGTTCCGTGCGAAGAGCATGGAAATCGGAAGTGGTTACAACAATAGGGGAACCTTTTCCTTATTGGCATTAAGCTTGGAATGTTCAATGGAATTTTGCCTGGATGATGGATCATCATCCGTGAGCATATCAAATTGATTGCTCAAATAAATTTCATCAGAAGAGGGATCAAGAGATTGTCCCTTTCTTTTGCATTTAGGCGCCATGGCGCCAGAAGAAAGTTTCTCCAAATCGACTTCCAAGCAGAGTACTATAAGAATCCGAAAGATCGAAGAGGAATTTTCCAAATCAATTTCCAAGCAGGATTACCTCGGGCAGGGTCCAAACAAGGATCGAAGAAGAATAAGAATCGAACAAGGTAGACAATTTACTGGTAATATTTAATTCTGAAAAGTGCTGTGTAAATTTTTTGTAGCTTAAGATAGCTGTTACACAATAGAGGTAACTTTTCCTTCAGCAAAAAGCAAATGTCGTGCGGATCGGCAAGAGAGAACGATGCAGATCCGATGTTCAAACTAAAACTGTTCGTTTTTACCCTTCATTAATCTTCATGAGAACAGAGTATTTTTTAATAGAGTGCACATATCTCCCTGATAGATAGCTCAACGATTGTGTTTCGGTTACAAAATTGAAATCTTTGAAATCTTCGGTCATTTTTCAAAATGACATGCTTGATTTTTTTTTTTTTTTTTATAATTGTAGCACAGAAACGGCACTTCTGCTCGAAATAACGTCGAGACAAAGTTGTAGAGGAAAGTAATTCTAAAAACACGTTAAAACTTAAATATCTCAAAATGTACTTGCCCGATTTTTATTATTTTAAAGGCTCAGAAAAAATTCAAGCTTTTGGAACGTTTAAAGTTTAAAGTTGAAAAATTGCACAGACGCCATTTTGAAAATGTTACCCGAATTTTAGCAAAAATAACAAAAAGTTTCATACAAATCTGAGAAGGTCGATTCAAAAATTCAATTTTTCTTCGCTATTCGGTCTGGATCTGGTCCATGAGTAATCATTTTAAGGGTCCATCGCAGTGGAGAGTTCACTGTATTCCAAACATTCGAAATCTAGCATCTCTACTATTTCTGCTAGTCTCAGGACAATCAATATCATCATTGGCAATTTTGTTGTTTATGGACAATTGTCTACGCAGGGGGAGGGGGGCGATAATCACCCAAAACTGTCTACAGTTCAATCAATAATGCTGTTTAATGCTTTTTGTGAACCAATGAAAAATTAATCGGATTTATGCTAGTTCATCGTTTATAAATCGTATAATTTTTGTTTGATATACATTAAACAACACCTAGGTATGTATCAAATTAATGTGGAAGTTGAATATAATCTCCAGATTTGTGAAAACGAAGCTTGAACAGAAGCTGCAATAAAATATAGTTGCATTGTTATCCAGTATGCAGCTTAATTAAATCGTCATGAAGGCGTTTCTTACATTTGAAATTGTTTCTTGGGGAACACTCTTAGTTGAAGAACTTTGAAGCATTCTCCAAAATATTGCCGATTAATTCCATTAATAGATACATTTCTAATAAATACAAAATAATCTATTATCTGATAAAATTTGACATCCTAACAAAACTCATTCAAACGCATCATTACAAGAAATAATGCCATTATTCATCGATTTGGTAATTGAGATTTACAGGTTCATAGAAACCATAAACTAAGCATTTTGCAAATATGTTTGGTCAATCCAAATTCCATCAATCGTCTTCCAAACTGCAAAGCAGCCCTTACGCTGGATCCGAAATATATTGATTGAGACCTTTTGAAAGAAAGTAAATATGCAACAATACTTCACATAATCACGAATCAATTATCAATTATTAAGGCTTTGAAAACTGTTTCATACCTTCACATTTCACCAAATCAATTTAAAAATTTAAATTCTATTCATTAACCTCTGCCCTTTCTAACAAAAAAAAAAAACTTCCATAATCTAAGTAGCCATTTAACACCACGTTATTACTAATCATTATTATCGTTCCATCGTACTGGCACAATACATTCGACTGTCAATTGTCTCTTCTTTGCCTTTTTTTTCACCACAATAAAAACTAGAATGCTTTCATCCACACATGTCCCGAATGTATACAATTTACCCATATCCCCAATGACCAACAAACCAAGCACTCATATCGCATTCGGCACCTCTGTTTACTCACCTTTCCCATTAATTCAGAAGTCAGCCCACCGGAGCTAATTTGCGTCTTCACGGACTACCTCGTGGCCCCTTCAGTATGGATACTTTATGTCAACGGTAACGGTTTTCAATCACTTAACACAATTTGTTTGTTTTTTTTCTCGATTTTGTGGATCCACCTTTAACTAACCTCAACAAACCAGCCCGCTGGAACGGCCAGCAGTTACTGAAGGCGAGGAGCACAAGGAGGAACCACACTAGCAGAGGTTCGTTTCAAAATCCTGAACACACTCACCGTCGACCGAAGGAGACGAACCGAACCCGATCGGATCGTAAACAAAACTGTCGTCTCCGTTGAGGACAGGTGAGAAATTTATAGGTTCGCCCCCGGGTGGGCCCTCGCGAATCGTGGAGGCCGGCTACCCCGCCGATTCTCTGTTTTGCCTCTGATTGCTCGCTCACATTCGCTCGCACTCTCTTCATTGCATCAGCTCTCACCAATCTCCTGATTGCTTTGCTGAGATAAGGTTTCTCACCACGCGACGCACTGAAATGTTTATCTACTGAAGCGAAGCATGCTTTGATGTTTTTGAATTGTTTGACAGCTGAAATTGATTTTCAACAATCACAAAGATTCTCGTTTTCCCGGTTCATGATTCACTATAATAAAAAAGGTGATAGTTTTAAATTTACTGTGAAACAATGTATCGTTCTGTGGAAGAAACGGATACCACAATAGAGCAATTTAAATTTGAATTAATTTACAAAAGTTCTTCCCGGATCTATCACATGGCCAACCAGGTATCATATATCCGTCGATGGGAGATAACACCACTAGATTTATAGTTCTCATAAACGACAAGTACTGTTCACGGAGAACAAATAAATTAACCCAGCTAGGTATTTAATCAGTTTATTGTTCTTATTTTAGAAGAAAGCAACGCGTGACTCAACTTCAAATACGCACATCCCGGTGATCGGAGTCTGACGGATAGCTGTCAGTGCGCTCCCATACTCGGCAATTATCATTCCAGAAGACGGATTCTGCGATTCTGATGATTTAATTCGATTTACCGGTAAATCCACCCATGACGACGAAGATTGCGGTATCTGCAATCTACCTATTAGAGAGCCAATTAACGCATGTCAAAACAATATCCCTGTTAAATGCTAGGCAGTAACTATTATAGTGACAGGTGGCACGTGGCACTTTCCCACGGGGCCGGTTTAGGCTCAATTGTTCTTGAATGAACATGGTAGACAGAAATTCGTTTCATTTGAACAATTTTAATTAATCGACGCTAATTGTTTTCCATTTACGATCGGTTAGCTGGTTGACTGGACACTAACCTCAACTCTGCATCATGATGCATTCCGTTCGTTGTTTTTTAAAAACACAATTAAATTGATTTTGACAACGAACATAAACATATAAATCAAAATCCAAGAACCCATCCCTAAAAATGCAAATCGCAATCTAGGTCAACCTCAACGTTTTTTTTTGTTTTGTTTGCTAAAGGAGAAAGGCTCCAGCACTGCATGGGAATGCTCGAGTAACCGGACCCACCCACGCGCGTTGTCACCGCGCTGTCTGTCTTTTTAAGACATAAACACCCACCCTGTTGGTATCTGGTTCCATCAAACTGAGGCGAATCCAGATTAATCCAGAACAACCTGGGAGTCTTTCTAGTCGTTCAGCTGAGATGGATTTAAAGGTGAAACCAGTTCGAAGTCCGATTACCGAATACATAATTTTTTCAGGTGCAGGTTGGGATTTTTTTTATCATATAGGGTATACGTCCCTAACCTCGGTCTAATATGCAGCCATCGATTACGTTTTTAATCATAACTCATCAATGAATTTACCTGCAAACGATATTCTACTGCTAAATGGTATGCTTAGATATGCTTATCATGTCGTTTGCTATCAGAAACCACGAAAAGTTGAAAAACTTACTTTTTTTAAGACAATAACTCACGAGGGAAATGTATGTAATATGGGTCTATTGTCCCCAAATTGGGTCTATTTATGGATGCAACTTCGTCCTATCTTGTTTGATCCTCAAAAAAACGCTCTTGGTAACGTTTTCTGATGTATTTTTTTTTATCACTATCACTGTTAACTTAATGCTCTTCATTCCTCAAAACATTTCTTAGAGAAAATTTTACGAAAACTACATTAAATCATTCAATTTAAAAATTAAAAATTAAAAATTTCGCTTATCGTCTTTTGACCGCAGAATATCTAAATCAGAACATTGTGATGTTCATTATACAGGTTTGGCAGAAAAAATCTCCCTTCCTGTTCGTTCCTTATCATCCAAATGCAAAACAACATTGTTGACGTTACTCTTATTGCTATATGCTGTCAAATGAATTTCATGGGCCATAGTTAGGAACATAGAAAAGAAATGTGTCCCTAAAGTTGGGTCCATGTTTTACTTGTGAAAACGTTGTTAAACAATTAAAATAAACATAAAATATTCAAACAGCAACTGTAAGTTTTACGTCTAGTGTGTATTATCAGGTAATTCCAATCAATAAATGCCATAATCAGGCCATTTGATGATCGTCAGTCAACCTTCCCATCTTAACCTTATAAGTCATGGCGGCTAAAAACTCCGAACATTGTGATATTCTCAACCAGTTTTATTACTTACGAGAGCTGAAAATGTATTGAAATGTTGTGATATAAATTGATTTGTGTGTGGTACACATTTATCAACCATCAGTGATCAATATTTTCCTTATTTTTTGTGTAATATTCCTTAATTAATTATTTATTTGCGTGATAGGCCGAATGAAAGGACTAGACCCACATTACATACCGTAACCCTACTGCCTATAATCGCATATCAGTCCCATATAGATTTTCGTCAATTTTAAGATAACAACGCTAACAACTATCAATTATCATATATTTTCGTATTATTGATTAAACTACGGACTGGTACTTGTTACGAATTGAATGATAGGGTTAACTACCCCATTTCCGGCCTATTAATCACAACCCGCACTTGGGCTTTCTTAATCTAGCGCAGTTTAGTGTTATTATTACTGATAGCTTCCTAATTTATTTAACTTTTTGTATGTACCGTAAGATTTGATAAAGAGAAACCAATCGTTGAGATATTGTCAAAAGTCTAACACTGCTTCTTGACGCCAAACTCGGTCTACGGATTATTAACTTGGCCTAACGCATTGAAACGCTTTTGAAACGCCAATGAATTCACTTCGGCCTATCGGATGAAGATAAAAATTGATTCGGTCGGAGCGCTTCTTTTGTTTTTGGGAATAATGGGTGTAAACCTTCCTATCACGCGTTCTTATTGACTTCATTCGGTAGTATTTGAACTAAAGTATCGTACCAAACGCATAATCTATCTGTTAACGCCGAAATCATGGATTTATTTGAAGTTTTCTGCTCGATAGGCCCAAAATGGGCGATAAGGCCGAAGTAGTTATCTACCCTATTGGAAATTTAAACGAAATTAATTTCATGTAACGTAGGGGAACTAGGGGCAAGAATGTCACCAGGGGCAATAGTGCCACCCTCAATATATTTTGAAAATGAAGTCATTTATATTGCTAACTCATGGTATTCTTATGAAGCATTCTAGAAAGTTCTGCTAGAAACGAAGTCTTAAAACAAATACAAAAAATCATTTTGTGTTGATGTGTTGAAAGGCGATTTTTTATAAGAATAAGGTATCATAAAATAAGGATTTATGAATTCCCAATTTATTATTTTTACTATTTCTGTGTCACTATTGATGGTGGATTGAAACATTAATAACAATACATTATTACATATGTTCTTTCAAGAGCAAATTTTCATTATGTCGTAAGAAACATTCACACCGATCCGAGAAAAATAAAGTTTTGTTTTGATGACCGAAAAGTTATTCCTATTTCCAATTAAACACATATAATCTCATAGTGATAGCAATGTTTAACATATTTAGCCGGGTTTTAATCATACAAATGCAAATCGCTAGCTTTCATGCTAAGAAATACTGGTTTTTGAGTCAAAAGTTATTATACGTCGTTTGGTGTCCCCTATTGTTACTTAAGTCAAAGTGCATTTACCAGGATATTCGGGAGAATTATCAATTACGTCTCCTTACGTGCAGCCCATTCATCATTTTAGGACCACCGAAATCATCTTAGCAACAAACAGTTCGATTTTTTCACTTTAATAATGAGAAAGCGAAACGACGAAAGTACACTTTTAACGGGTTTCTCAGTGCTGTTACTTAAGGCAAACGGCATCTCCATAGAAATCGGGTGACTTAAGTAACATCGAAAACTATTTTGTTCGGAAGGTGATTACGTCAAAAAGCAAATCGACTGGTAAATAAATTTAAAAATGGGATGTGATCCTATATTCGGACAGTATATAGTGTAATAGCAGGAGCATCGATTGACACTGATAGCACAGACAAACAGACATAACACATTGAATATTTCACACTGTAAAACATCGTCGCTAAAACATTACCGCCATCTGTTGAGTACAGTGTGGTGGGTAGTACGCTGAACAGATGGCGGTAGTGTGTAAACGTCAAACGCAAGGGAATTGACTATGCGCGCCACAGGTGGCGGTACTACCAACTACGATACTTTTAAATTGACCGTTAAATGCTTGTTCGATGAACAACTTGTGACTGTTATGTTTGTTTGTCTGTGCTGATAGCTCGACTTTGTTTACCTTTGTTACATTCGACGTAATGAAAATTTGCTCTTGCTTTAATGGATCAAAAATTATATTCCTAAAAATAAAATTTATAGTTACAATTCGGTGTACAAACTCCTATAAATATTCACAGGATCGCATATATAAATGGACAATCGTTAGGGTGACCTTCTTGCCCCTAGTTCCCCTACCAATCTATTTCGTTGTAGAAAACTACAAATGAATTCGTGGAACAAACGAACGGTTTCGTTGTACAGGTATACCTCGATACAGTAATGACCAGATGCGCTTTTCCAGTCGTCTTATTGCACCAAAGTATACCTTAAACATCAACCTTTAAGGTGAATTAGAGAGATTTGGAATTACGGTAATGTAAAATTATAGAAAAATAAAATTCTGAGGGGACTGACAAAATCGGATCATTGCTGTACAACGTAACTGTCTTTTTTGACTTCCATCGCCGTTTTCTCGCAATCGATCATTCAATCAAGCAAAAGAGTAACAACTTCGGACAGATGATAAAATCCTCCCTATTGGTAATAGTAATTTGTATGATTGAATTGTCAATTTCGAGATATCGACAATAGAAGCCAAAGGTGACTGTATTAACCACAAACGA